TTTCGAGCGAATAAGATTCTGCATTTCAAACTCGTGATTGAAGATTTCAGCTAGCAGCACAACAGCCTTTAAGAAAAGTGAGTATTGCCTGCGATTTCTGTGTGACGAGAAGTTACCAACCTTCTTTGATTGTTCGTTACAGGAAATCATGTCGAGCTTTGGACTTGTGCCGTTTTTCCCGAGATGGTACGATGACGTGTCTCGCAGCCACTCTCTGTTCGATCAGTATTTCGGAATGCCACTGCGTGACGATGATCTTTTTGATCCTGGTATGATGATGCCGTATTTTGGCCCTCGTAGACACCATCATCGCCATCCGGAAGGTCAATTGGCTCCCATGAGGTCATCTATGGACCGTGGAAGATCTGGATTGTCCCGTGTCACGAACGACAAGGATCAGTTCAAGGTAAAATGTGAAATTTTGAATTGCAGTATTATCTCGTTTTGATGAGACTTATGCTGCGGCGACATCTGACTACATCGAGCACGTTTACTTCCGGTAATTGAAACAGATGTCGCTAACGCATGAGCATTATTTCGTGATGCTATTTCTCACTCATTTCTTTGATAATTTACTGACGGTAACATCAAACGTTTCTTGCAGGTGACTTTGGATGTTCATCAGTTTAAGCCGGAGGAGGTTCACGTGAAAACAGTGGAGAAATACGTGACGATCGAGGGTCGCCATGAGGAAAAGGAAGATGAACATGGTTACATCTCCCGTCACTTCGTTCGTAAATACCTTCTCCCTGAAGGAGTCAAGGCGGAGGAGGTAACATCTACCCTGTCGTCAGACGGTGTTCTTAGCGTTACTGCGCCGAAACAAATGGCAATTGAGAAAGGCGGAGCACGCGAAATTCCGATCTCGCGTTCTCCGTTTCCGGCATTGGGAAGTACGACTGCAGCTGGTCAGAATGGACACCCAAGTGAAAAGGAAGGCGAGAAAGCTGCCAGTGGCGAACCAATGGAGAAATGAATCGGCGGAAACGAGGAAATCTGAAGCAAGTGGACTGTTCGAAGAAGTGATTTGAAAATATGTGAACTCGTGTAAACAATTTTTGGTCTCCGCCTTGAAGGCAAATGTGAATTTGAATGTAAATTGGTTTAGTGTGAATAAAGTGCTGTAGAGAAACACGTTTGGATTAATTCTAAGTAGTAACTATAAACTTCAGTCGGAATTCTAGGATTGACTAATTTTGGCTGCAGAAGTTGACCAAATCTGCAAAACTGATCCACCTGGTTTGTCTACATGGGCTTGTATAACAGTGATGCTACAAAATTCTGAAATTGTTTGAGATGCTTCAGCATTGACCTTCCTACGCATATATACCCTACAAAATTTACACATATATCACGACGGACTTGTGCACTAAAAGTAGCGCTGGGGAAAAATGGTTAATTTTTCAGAATGAGCTGGTAAATTCTTGGATGAACTGCTTCTTTGTGTTAATGTTCAGTTTGTAAAATTCCCGGTACTAGGCCATTAATTAATTTAAGTGGTTTACGCCTTTTTCCCAAAAGAAGTAGAAATACTTATCCAGTAAATAATGCATTATTTTGCTCCCAAAATCGATGCCATTTCAGGATTGTTCAACATGTAAATGAAAAATTTCAGACAAAGGGATCTTGAAAGAGGTCTGTCCAGAATTTCAACTTCATCATTCAGCTCAAGTAACAGAACTGTACAAAGTATGGTATGTGTCCAAATTATCCAGTGTGGACATGTATCATTTGTGTAGATACACATGTACGGAGTACACCAGGGCTTCGATAAACCCCCACTTTACACAAGGTTCTTACCCTACTAAAAATTTGGGCTTTTATTTGAGAACTTTCTTTCTATTTGGTTATGTAAACTTTGTTTAGGAAGGCTCTAAAGAACATTGAAGTTACTAGGTTAGGTGGCTGAATTCTGGCAAACTCTTTTTTCGCTGAAAACTAGCGGAAAATTCCGATCAGGTCACTGCTAAAAGCCGAGATAGGATCCTAAACCTAGACACATGACATGAACGCGATTTTTCTACGAATCGAATGCAATCCGTTCGCGAAATCGCTGCAAAAATCAACCCGGGAAGACGACCGAAGGACAAGAATATTTTTGCAATATCGTAAATCACATGCGGCTGGATACTACAGCACTGTCACTAAGTTTTGTATCAGCAGCAAAACTAGCCTTCTATATCGACACGGCACGTAATCTCGAGACAAATCGGAGCTAGTACAGTACTTCCGAAATTACATCAGCAACAAGACCCAACTTGAAGAAAACGTTGTCCCAAAAAGTGGGAGTTTTGTCGCGTCGTTTTCTCGAATTTCAAGGAATCCACTCCCACACTCCCAAAATTACTTAAAATCATCCTTTCCAAAATCGCACTCCATGCGGCTGGTGCTGGAAACTTATTTACACGGAAAGTGAGGGGGAAACCCGAGAAAATACAGGAATGACGAAGAGTTGCGAGAGAAAAACGATTCACTTTCCGACTGAGACGTGGTAATCTTTGGACGACGGTCATCTCGAAGGCGTAGATCCGCTCACGCACGAATGAGTGCGGGAATGGCTCGAAGAATTCGCGCTCTGCGCTGATATCAAGCTCGACATTGATCCCCTGGAACACAAAACAATACTGTAAACCAAAAACACAACTAAAACTGAAATTTGAAAGATCGTCAAAAATTAGTAGTTGGGTGTGAAACATAACAGCACGATCCTCTATAGTGCTTGGGGTACAGTACTTTTTGGAAGCAGCCCTCGGCTTTGATTCACTCTTTTTAAACTAACTGCCACTGTAACAATGACTAATTCAACAACTTTATGCATGACAAACTTACCCTGACCTTATACCCAACAGACGTACACAAACTTTATACATGACGAACTTACCTCAACCTTGTACTGTACCTAAAAAGCTTACCCTAACCTTATATTGTTCCTAACATACTTGGCGTAATCATATACGGTACCCAACAAACTTACCCTACTCTTACACCCAACGAACTGATACCTCACCCTACGCTTACATCTATCAAACTCCACCTACTCTTGAACTTAAAAAAGTTATCCTAACCTTATACTGTACTCAACAAACTTACACTTGACAAAACGCAATGACAAAACGAACCAAACTTATTCTAGACGACCTTTTCAAGTCCAACCCAATGAATAAATCATAACTCGACTAGCCTAAGAGTAGGTTTACACTATTAATTCAAGGTAAAACTTGAAAAAAAAATTATCAATTATCTCACAGAACAAATCTGACACCCAACCATCATCTTTTGAAGCCCAAACCTAAATATCCTCATCGAAAACTCGATCAGCACAACCTAGCAAATCAAATTATTCACACGTATCTCAGCCAATCAAAATAACCTGATTCTAACTAAGTCGGCCATTCTCATCCGAAATAACTCAACATTCCTATCCAAATCTAGATGTGGATCAACAGACGGACACATGATTGATGAAGCACTCGCAAGGCAGCTTCAATAAGGTACAACTGGGGATTAATTATTTGTTCCAACGCAATCTCCTGCACTCGCAGGGAAAATGTCACCATGAGAAACCGAGAAATACGCACTTGAGATCCTGCGAAGTCAGTACTTCGTGGAAGTACATGACTTTGGCTTTGTGATGCGTGATCGTAATGGAATCAATCAGCTCCGTGACGTTCTTGGCAAATGAGCTCGCCTGAGAGTCCACACACTTCCATTGCAAGACGTAAGTGCCTTTGTGTTCCGTGGCGTGCGAACCCTGGATGCTCTCGCCGTCGTGGCAAGTGATGGCATCTTCCACCAAGAAGTAGTCGGTGCCTTCCTTCCAGCCTTTCTCAAATACCGTGCGATGGTCGCTGTCCGATGCCAGAGGGTTGATGCTATGCACCGCTTTGCCTGGAAAAGCCAATCAAACGTAGGGAATTAAGCCTAAACACTTTGAAACGAACGCGACAAAACGTACTCTTCCTGCCAGGCAATAGTGTTTACTCATTTACTCAAATGTATTTACGCCATTCGTTAAAATAAGCATCTCTGTTTTTGGTACCGTATCTAAAAAATCGACTCGATACGGTAATATCCTAATTGACCCACAAACTAGAATAAAAATAACAGGGCAGATCAAATTTAGGAAACTTCAAAATGACATTGTTAAATTGTATTTGTGGAACGTTCGAAACCGTATATGCGTTAAAGATTCTCCAGCGACCACTCGGGAAGTTTTCGGAGAGAAATCGATACTCCCGTTAAAATTTACCAAGAGATTCGTGGAGTTCTATATTTTCAATGCATTTGAGGAAAAACTATGAAACCTACGCCTGAATGTTTCAAACGAGGATTGGTTCATGAGTTTGGCTGCTGACTGACCGCTAACTGTGTGATCTGTGTCCTAGAACGTGAACAACCATTTAATGCTATCCGGTAATTCAATCATCTGTGAGATCTTCTTCAACGATGATAGGGGGCGGGGGTGATGTTTAATCCCTTTAATTTTTCAAATGCAATATGTTCCTGGGGAGAAGATATTAAAAAAAATTAAATGAAGTATTCACAACTGAGGAAATCGCTTGAAAATCACCATCAACTTAGGTACGAAAACCTTTGCAATTCAAGTACGGAAATTTAAGCAACTTCTTGCTTCAACTTGGAAGTTGCATTCAAATCATCCCTGGGCGGAAATACGGCATGGTTTACGAACTCACACGCAGTTAAAATACTGTGCTTTAAAATATTTTACAAAATTTTGAAATCGCCTGAGACGAAGTTTCAGACCTGACAACCAGGTACCATGAAAAAAGGGCTCCAATCTTGGAAATTTTCGGTCAAAACGTCAATCGGGAATGAATAAGTTTCCCCAATATAGTGTTTCAATTTAACGAAACCTTCAGGAAATGAACGGGTATCTTTTCGATGCCTCGCAATTGATCACAGAAGTTTCGAGGGGAATCATCCATCAGAAACTTGCCTACCCCAAAAACTTAGTTTCAAGGTATTTACAGTCCAGTCCTGACAAAACTTTCGAACGATTCCCGCTCAATTCTCTAATTTCGCAGAACATACTCGGTTCATTTTTCGGCGGCAACGGGAGTCGAGTCCGAAGCACCGAAAAGATAACCGCTTGCTTCATGACGTCGAAGTCCCAGCAAATGACGCTGCCGACGTCTTCGTTGTTGATGACGACTTCGTGGACTTGGCCTCGGGCAATTGACACACTGTGATAGATCGAATCTTCGCAGAGAGGAAAATGCTCTCTATCTTTCTCCATCTCTTCCTCGCTCATGTACAAGGCCTTCGGGACAAGGGCTCCATCCACAACCCGCGTCTGGAAACAACGAAATCAAGTTCGTTAATTAAAAACGCACATATCCCGAAGCAGTTTCTTGATGGAAGTTGATCAGTACGAACAAATATGATATTATCTAGATGAAAGAAAAACGAACATCGATCCGGGCCAAGAGTAAATCGAAGAGCACATAAAAATCCAAGTCACTCGGGTTTTCAAATAAAAACATGAATTTTACTTCACGAATCGAATATACCAGTATGTTGAATGTAGGCCTTTTCGACATTAAAAAAAACGTATTCAAGGAATGGAAAAATGCACCTCAAGCGTGTTAAAAGTATTTCCATTTGTAAATGCAACATTTTGCATAATTATATTACAGTACATCAAACATAAATTTCGAACTAATTCATGGGCAGAAGCTTTCCCAAAAATAAAAAGAAACGTTACCTCACGCTTGGATCAAAGTGAAAATTACACTGAAATACTGCACTTATCGAACTAATTAGCTTAGATTTTTTCCAATTTAACGCCTGACATTACCTTTCAAGGCGTTAGATAGGTTCAGAACTGCATAATTCTTTCTGTGAAAAACTCATCAACCCTGAGCAAACAATCTAACGTCAATTAACTCGAGTCGAAAAGATAATCCAACGCATAATCTGACCAAAACCAAAATACTTCATATGATGTGGCGGCGTAACCCGAAAAGCATTAATCAACATAATCTAATCATAAATTTTACAAAATAATTCATATCCCCAACATAGCCTCATGGCTTAACCTAAAAGAACATAACCTAGCATTTACCGTATCAACGTGAACTAAATCTTATCCCATAACTTGACCCTGGTCAACGTAACATAGCCACAACCGACAAAACCTAACCCTGAACTACTGCATCACCAGATTTACCTTACATTCAACGCATAATTGATCAAGCAATTTTTGTTACGACAATAAGGCGCAACCAAATGCGATTGACACAAAAATAACTGGAAAAATATAACCATAAAGATTTGCGTGTGACATTCAATTAAAAAAATTCGAATTTCGTCGAATTCCGAAAAAATAACCTTTGCAGTGCCACCGAGAAAGTCGGGGATGGAACGCGGCTCGATGTATTCGGAAAGACCTCCAGGGCCTTGGTAGTCGTTGCCCGAGTAGAAGATGAATTTGCACCGAGTATTGTCATTGATGAATGTGCCCACAAGAGTCCAGAGGATCGGGAATACCCGCGGAGCCCGAACAATCAGCACCCGGCCCATCGTCTCTGGGTAATTCGCTTCCATCACCTCGATGATCTTCAATAACGTCTGGCGAATAATTCAAGAGACAGAAGTAGGTTACAGAGACAGACCAAGGTCTTTCGGGTGCCAAAGGTTCTCAGTCAGAATCCCGAGCATCAATGTTTGATCAATACAAAGATTCAAAAGCCTCCGTTCTTTTCTGAATATACTCTTGAATTGCCCTAATTTGGGTTACTCCTCGTTGACCCAATTGACACTTATTGCATCTATTCGAGTACTACACGCATTCAAGTAAGACGCACAACGGGACTTTCCACCCTACGATTTTGATAAAATCCAATCCATACATAAAACGCGGACAACTCATTTTTTGTGCCTGAAAAACTGCGATAATTTCAAAAATTACGAATAGCAGTAACTGTATTTGAATTTGGGCGTGAATTGAACTTGTATTCAAGTAATTTTCAATGATTTGCAATAAACAATGTTTCTGATAAAATTGGTAAAAAGAATTTCCGATTAGAATCAAACATGACGCGCATCTAACTTCTGAAGAAAATATGAAAATTTTATACTCGCCTACGACGCGCACCCTCATTTTCTCTCTCAATTTTAAAAAGGTGCATAGTACCCACGTACATAGTAAACACGGTACTTCAGCAAAAATTGCCACGCTTAAAACTTCCATAATTTTAAGAGGGCCCTCAGACCTCGTAGGGTTAACAGACATCCTCAGATTTGTTCGAACTTGAATTGCGTGCGAATTCAGAAATGCTTTTATCACAGTACTATCAAAAACTAAGACTCGTGCGGTTTTTCGAAAAGAAGAGCATGTTAATGTTCACAGACGAGATTTGTTTTCGCACGTGGGATAATCGTGCGTTTTAGAGACACACCTTCACACCAGGGCGCCACAAGTGCCGCATATTCAATCCTTCCAAATCCACAAGCAACGTCCATGTGCTTATCGGCCTTCCCACTTGACGCGTTCTGTCCTCGGTCATACGTATTCCTTCTTCGCAAATATGCAGAGTCTGAAATAAATAAACACCCCCGCATAAGTTACGAACACGCAATACACCAATATGTTTTGCTTGCAGACTCGAAAAATTCAGGACAAGTCAGAAAACTGACACAATACGCGATTCACATTCCCGTACTTTGAATACACGTGCACACGTGAAAATAGAGCCAACAATAACTCCTTCACAGGCGGAGGTTTATCGTCGGGCCCCGAAAATTTATGCTTTTGCTCACCAGTTTGAACAAGCCTTCCTCTCCAATCGATTTCATGAGCCCTTTCACGTCCATTTGCCCAAGTCGCAGGAGGTAAACAGGCCTTCCGTCTGAAAAAAAAAAATTTAATTTTCAGAAAACGGAATTGAATTGAAGCGGAGCATCCGCGAAAGGAACACCTGTAAACATCGGGAACTCTACCCAGACCAGAGAAAAGCAATTTTCCGGCTCGCGGGGGTTCACCGAAAAGCCGGTTCAATTATGCAAAATGGGTCCAACAAGGACAAAAAGTCTCTTTCAGGTTCTGACCCTTGGTAAAGTACTGCGCCATACACTGTACCTGAATATTTTCCTCAATAAACTACCAGGTATAGTCTATTGCAGTGCATTTCGTCAGATACGAAGTCAAGCATAATGTTCTTCTTATAGTTTCTCGCAGTCGAATTTCGGTCAACTCATGCGACAACCGCCTCATTTCAAGACATCATCGGCTTAGTTTCAGCGTCAATCTTTTTTTTTTTTTTTTTGGAGAAGGTGGTTTTTTTGGAGTTGGATTCAGGTGACATCTGCCCGACATTCCAGCGAGGTTGAAGAGATAACTTTTGCTCAAGGAAATATAATTCCTTTCAGAAACGGAAAAAGAGAGAACCTGGGCGGATTTCCTTCTTGACATGACGGGAAATGTGGTGGATTTCAAAGTCTAAAAATAAATTCGACTGACCTCGATCGAAATGGTGCCATCCGCCAGGGAAATAGTCCTTGACCACCTGCGGGAGCTTGTATTCACCCAGGATCTTGTCAACCTGGTGCTGTTTGCGCCAAACCAAGGACTGGCTCAACATTTCCCTCGCCTTTTCCAAGTGGAAATCCCGGGCTCGCAAAAACCTCAGCAGCATCGAGTCACTCGGCATCTGCAATGCATCGAACCATCTCAACTCTAAACTGTTTTTTTTTGTTTTTTTTTTGTGGCAAAAGTACTGTGCATCCCAAATGAATTCTCGCAAAATCTGCGTCTACGCCGCCACCCTCGGCAACCCCCAATTTATTTATTCTTTAATCTTTCCTAATGATAAACGCGTGGGAAACTTCGTTAACATGCCAACCAGAAAAATTATTGAGAACTCAAAAGTTACCCCGCCACTTGATTTTGCCTTCGATAGCTCGCCAACAAGATTCAAGTTTCTGGGAGAGGCTTCTGATGTAGAAAATAACACAAACACACATGAACGTAATGATGACATACTGTAATTCTCTTATTTTGGGAAGATTAGCCATGCGTAATTTACGCATACCATGGTTATTTTGATATCATTTTGGCTTTTTGATATACAGCACCATCAAACCCATTAAACCGCCACAAACAAATTGTAGTGGCTTATCTAGGTCTGACAATACAATGCAATGGACTTTCAACTTTTTCTTCGAAGTGCGGAAATTAAGAAAATAAATAAACATTTCAACTCCGTCGTGTCACGTGAAAATCAGGCCAAGAGCTCCCAAAGCAAAATTTTAAAACGTTCCAAGATGTCAGTGAATATTTTCCGGAAGACACATGCAAAAATACTGTGCCTCGTGTTTTCCCCAATTAAATTCACAAGTGCATCTTGTGGACAAAAATTTTTAAAAATACAGGTCATCAAATGCACTGCGAAACGGATACCAGTGATGTGAAAAATGCAACAATGACACGAAACAACGTTGCGTTCAAGATACAGAACGATCCCATTTACAATACTGCTACTCAGGAATTCAAGTACTGTACACCGTTCCCAAAACCACTAATAATGATCATACAAAATTAAAAAAAAAGTTTATGAGACAAATACGAAATACGAGTGCATGAAAGATACACATTCGAACGCACATCGCCAAGAAGAATAGTTGTCAAGAAAGAGAGAGAAAAAAAGGGATGGGACAAGGAATTGACCGCTACTGACGTCAGGCAACCTTATCGTATGTTCACTTGGACGACATAAATTATTTCGTACATCGGAGGAACGATCGTCAAACGCCGTCGATGAATTTTTCAAGACTTGCCACACGTCGAACACGATCGTCCATAAATTCCACGCTTTTTTTCTTCTTCTTCGAATTCCGCGCAAAAAAGTACCAGAGACCAGAATTTACAGCGCGATAAATTCTCGACAAACGAACTTTTCGATTGCCAAGGAAGAAAGACATTCGCTTCCGAAGTAGCTGCGACATTCGGGTTCTTTATGAGCCGGAAAAAAAGTTCTACGTGATTACAATAATCTGACTTGATTATGGCCATTATTTTAAAAGGGTGGGTTGATAATTTTAGTTTTGTCCTGCTATTTCCTTCTTGGGATTTGATCACAGTAATTTTCGAAGAGTTGATACCCCACGATTTTCTGAAACGTGCTCGAATTTTTACGATTCCAATTTTATCCGTAGTAAAAGGCAATGCCAAATTCACTGACATTCCAAGTGCTTTCAACTATAATCATCCGCAGGATCTGAAAAATTATTTTCAAAACCTTGAGGAACTAGAGCAGTCGAAAATTAAGCTCTCTTTCACCACCTGATTTACTCAACAGAACTCCAAAAGCACTTCAGGACTTCCGGAAAAATAAATAAAAAAGGTTCGAAGAAACTCCTTTTGTGACGCAAATTACTGTATTCGCAATTTGAGCCGGGAACGCGGAGAATTTAATAGGTTTTACATAAAATATTGTAAGAGACAACTAGGACAGTCTCAATTGCATAACGTTTGACAAGTCAGCATCACATCTTCGTTCTTCTCATTTTTGTTTTCAAGCACGACGACAGTAAGGGAGGCCCGTGAATAATTCAAAAGTGACACTGGTTGTCACGAGGCAGGAGACCCGCAACCTACCAACTTTGAATGGAAAAGAGAGCCCTCGAGGTTTTCTTTTTTTTATGGTGTGGGTACATATTTTGAAAAAGAATAAGAAATGTCCCTATGCCAGCAAGCAGTTCAAAAACAGAGGCGCACTACATCAACAGAACTTTAAAAAATCGCATTTACGATTTGACTCAATTTTTCACACTCCCTCAATCTCACTCGTGTTCTCCATCGACTTGAATATATTTCTTAGTTCCCTTTAGTCACGAACCGAAACATTCCGGGAAGTGCTAATTCATTTTCACACTTGCTCAAATTCTGACTTTCAGAACCCTCAATACCACTTCAGGGGGTTTATTTGAGCACGGATGGGTAAATTTCTTTCAATACAGTACTTCGTTACACTAAAACTTCGCAGGAAATCACGAGAGATCATCCAACGCGATGTCACGCGATGACGGAAGGGGTAATGGATGATGCCCTAGCGTCAATTTTTATCTTTTTTTTCCAGAACACCAATGAAAGCAAAATCGGGTCACTGGAAATTGGAGTGAAAAATATAAAACTGATCCAGACGATCTCCCAGAATACGGTAATCTGATGATGAAAAATGATCCCGATTTTCCTCGAAATACTGCGAGAAACGCGGTGGAGTTTATTTGCGCGCAGAAATCAGATGCCTCTCGAAGTAGCGCAAAAACTTCAACATTCCCATCTTTGAAAAACATCCTTTCCTTCTATACTCCGAATTCCATGCCTCGGAAAATTTCGGTTTTACGCACATACGGAATTTGAGGATAAACGAAAGTTCACCCGTAACACTTTCAACGAAGCCATAGGAGGCAGATACAATTCATACCTACGATGGAAAAAAAGAAGCCTCAATACAACTTCACCGGTTTAATTTTTTCGAAACACAAGATTCTTTTTTTTTTTCTTCACGAAAAATATCATGACTGCACGTCACAGTCAACCGCAAAACGCATTTTGCAAGAACATTTTGGCAATGATAGCTCAACTAATTTGAGATCGTTTGTTGGACGAGGTACAGGCATACGAAGAAAATAATGAGCGCGTCTAATTATAAGTTAATTCCGCCACCGGATAATGGAATACGATGAACGTTCAATAACAAGTTCTCATCGATCAAAGGACAAATTGCGCCAGCCACATCGGAACACAATTATTCCCATGGGCGGACGATACACATGAGGCACACACGAAAAGTTTCCGAATATTTCTCATGAATAATATGTTCCATGATGCAGAAGAAAAGAGATGAATTGTGATGCAAAGGCCTGTTTTTGACTGAAACGGAACCAAAATAGCTGAGAAATAATCTTGGCGCTCTTCTGAAAGGTTAAGTTGCAGGCAGGAACGATCTGGAAATCTGCTACTTCATTAACATCGAAAAAAGCTTTATTTTATAGCAAGAATAGTTTCGTTTTCCAGCTAAGAACATGAATGTGTTACTACACATAAAACCTCTCGACAACCAGTTTTATTTTTGGTTCCAAAGGGTTCTTTCCCAATGTTATAGGGTATCTCTACAACGGATTCCTCTCGTGAACTAATTTTCCCTGGTCCCTTTAATCTCGTTTAAGAGAGAGAGATGAAGGAATCCATCTGTATCTCATTAACTTTGTTAGGTTAATGAGTTCTCCCATGACAGGATGCATGAAAAATATTACATCGCTCTGCATAAGTACATTAGTATTTTCTCTACAGCAGCGATCTCCATACAAGGAACGTTTCCACGTTCCAAAAAAAGACAAGTCAATTATTACTGCAGATCGTCTACAGGAATATTCTCTGTCCTGCATAAATAACCAATTTTTTTCCTGAAATACCTTTTCGTGGTAGTCAACCTTGATTAAGAAATTAAACATTTTGAAAATTCCAAGCGGGATTGGGGAAATTATGAGTGAGTTAAGCCTGTAAACCCGATTCCTCCAAAGTAGAAAATAATGCATACAAGCGTCGATAAATTCATCGAGAATTAGAATAAAAAACCTTCCAAAACAGGAAAAGTGACGTTCACATCTAAAAAAAAAAAGCATTGTTCCGTCAAATGTATAAAAAAAAAAAAAAAAATCCCGAGATGCACGATGCGAGTCATGGCAAAAAGCTGGCATGTCACGGGGTTTATCGGTTTTCTCTGAAGGCAAGAATTAGTCCCGTGCTTCAAAACGGTATTCAACGATTATTAGAAGAACTCAGATTAATGTGCGACACGTTGAACAATTTTAAAATCTTGAAAAATGTGAAATAATAAATACAAGCCATGAAAAAATATTCATTCGAAACATTTCCTTTTACTCCGCGGAAATTAGGAATTTTCGCGAAAAAACTCTCATGAATGATTCGACCATCTGTGCGACCAATGCATTCCCACATAGTTTCTAGAAGTGTATTATAGACTTTCGGAACTTGACCTACGGCGATCATCCAAAAGTTCCCAGACTTTTTCGCACGCTTCCTCCTTCCTGCCACTCAATAATCCGATAAAGGATTTTCAACAACGGGTCGGGACCGCGGCTGTTGCCAACCGAGGTCACACGAATGGCACAGTATTGATACAACCGCGCATTGCGGGTAAAGAAATGAAAAGGCGGTTAAAGAGAGGTGTACAGGATGGAGCGAAGAAATTCCATCGCTTTCGCTCAATCGTGGCAATGAAACGTCGATCGCGAAGAACCAATCGAATAAAAACCCATGGAGTCCTTTTTCAAGAAACAAGATTAAGAAAAACTTGAATGGAGTCACCAACACGTTATTGAAAAAAATTATTAGAAAAAAGCTGCCACCAACATCCTCAAGTTCGATTTCTAACTCTCGTCTTTAATATTTTACTTCGAAACTTCTTCTTGAACCGGAAGTAGATACAGCATTGAAAAATGGTTGAACCTGTCCGAAATTTCTTTAAAATTTCCTAAAGGCGTAACCTCGCCAAGAAAAATGAAAGGTTGGAAAAACTCGTTTCAAAACGAAGAATGAAAGAAGCAACTATAAAATACTGTTAGAAGAGTTGCTAACACCTTTAAAAAACATAGGCGCAAAACTCAATCCAAAGCATAAAAATACCAGCACGAAACCCCAAGAATATTTGCATACGGTTATTTTTTTCTGTTGGCCAAACTAGATTACTTGACTGCCCATATAAAAAATAATAATGAAATGAAAAAAGAGTATTACAGAGCTCTCTCGAACACCCTTCACTCACGGAAGAGGCTTCAATAGACAGTTCTAGGGCACTTTCAGTCCGCCCCATAAATGTTACGGAAAAGTTTATTGTTCATGACCTCACCTTGCCCTTCTGCAGCTCGGCGACCCAAGTTTTCAGCTGCACGAGACGCGATTCCTGCAATGGGGTCAACTCGCCCAGACACCGCTGAATATAATCCGCCTCCAGCTTGAACATGGCAGCTTCTGCAAAAACACATTCACAAATTGATGAAAATCGACGAAATTATCAATATATCTGCAACGGAAAATCAGAGAATCATAGAGAAATCTCAAACACACGCAAACAATTTTCGCTAACAGTCAATTCGATGGAAAAATATTCGTGAAACAAGATAAACAAAAAACACGATAACACAATGCACGCAATATCCATCTCAGCATCAAAACCGTGCTTGAGAATCAATCAAAATTGTAAATACAGGGAGGAAAAGCACTTAATTTTCAATGCGCGAGTCTTAAACATCTTGAACATTTTGTCAATAAATGCAGTCGCTTTAAAAAACATATACTCACAACCAATTTCAAAACGCAGCCAATCCCAGAAAAAATGTCAACAAAAACAGCGTATTTCAATTGAGATCCTGGGATTAAAAAAAAAAAGTACGACTTCGAGCAACAAAGGATTTTGAGAAAATGTTTTGCAGCAGTTCAGGATGAAATATTGTGGGCTGATGGGCAAGCCATAGAACTCCTGAAAAATACCCTTTTAAGCGCAGGAATAACATGAAAATTGCTGCTTCCATTGCCAAGAGAAAAACACAGGCTTCGGCAAAATGAGTTCAATTCGCAGAAAACGGTTCCATGCATCAGGATTTACAGAGCCTTTCGCACAATAGAACAGAAAAAGACGGGGAAAAAACGCTATGGAATGCGCCTTCATAAATATCCGAGATTACTTCGACCAGAGTGACATTCGATCGAAGCTTAGCAAAGGGCTTTTGACGTATTTATTACGAGTGGGTTTTTTTTTTCAGTGCAAGCATAAGAAAGGCTCCTTAGTGCTGGTGCTAGCCTTAGTTAATAAGTCCGCATTAAGGGTTCAAGTTCGGCAATCCAAGAGCCATTCAAAACATTTAAATAATTTCCATTCAACGATTATATAAAAAAAATATTTGCAACATTGGGTCGCACAACAAAACTCATGCACCATCAGATACGCAAAAAACGTGAATGAATCGATCACCAGATAATCACCCAATTCAGGTCACAAAAAGTTGGGACATTATCCCGACAAATTCACGGTAATGGCAGTTTGATTTTCGTCACAAAAACATTTAATCGCAATTTCGAAGTTGCATAAAGCGAATGAATGACACACGTGCATTTTTCGATCAATCACGAGCAGACCATCATCAAACGTAGATCACAAGTTGCGACTTCGAATCATTACGTCTACATGAATAATTAATAAAGCCGACATTTTTTCCGCTCTGTTATGCTTACTTAGAACCGTAGTAGGTCTGCTAGTGTTCACAAGCTGAAGGCCTTCTTTGCCCCCTTCAAAAACAGAATAAGGCCTAGCGCTGAACCCGACTAGATATTAAAATGGTAGGATATTTTTGGTATTTGTAGAACCCTCAGGATAACGACTGTCGTCCGTCAAAACGACAGATATCAAAAGGAAGATTATATCGTCCCAAGGAAAAAAATCCTTCTTCCTTCGTTTCATGAACATTGAAAGTGAAAATGACAAAGAAATTCTTAATTTTTAATCCCGATGTGAAATTTATCATCACGACAGGGCAAAGACAGATCCCCCCCCCCCCACCTCGTTTTCATACTTGAACAGCAGCTCTTCAAACACATTTGATAATTTTACTAAGCTAGATGCTTATGAATTCGTGAAACATTTCCATCGTGCTTCCATGAGTCTAGTGAGTGCATTACCCTGTAAAAAAAAAGATCATAAATCCGAAGTAACCATCCAAGCAATTCCGGGACCTGGGGAATTAGATTAAGCTCATTCGCGCATTCATTACCCAAAAAATATTTATGTTCGTGCCCCCTTTTTTTTTTCGTTTGATAACCCGTGCATCCGCAGTAGCGCGCAAAAATCCTTGGAATATTCCAGGGCTTTTTCTCCCCAAAAGGCGCTGTTGGGTAATTTCCTTCTGTTCCGACCCGGAAGAGCGAAGAGGTCACTTGAAATATTCAGTACTCAAGGCAGAAATGTTTTCTTTCGTTTCCGGACATAAAATAAGACATAGCAACGCAATTTTGAGTAAGGCAGAACCTAAGGTAAAAAATAATAATATGGATACTGGTTTCAATAATTAAGGTTGGGTAATTACCACTCGCATGGGTCGAGAATTAGTGGGCATAGAGACCGCCCCTTTTTCTTGAGCCTATGGTATGAATGTAATGTGAACTGCTAAGTGAGTTTTACGTTTCCTGACACATAGTAGTTTTGCTTTATGGCATTAGCGTTCTACCTTGTGGTAGTTCAGTGTGTCGAAGCTTTTTAGCTTTGTCAAAAATTGAAACAAATCTCGACCAAATGCAGTTCATACATCATCATAGAAATCATTCCGGGAGAACTGATGATATTGATTTCACGTAGTTCGACATTCTTCGCTCAATTTCTTCTTTTCGTGGTACGGGTGGAGCTTTTTAATTTTCAAACAGAACTTTTGTTTAGACATCACAGAATCTATACAATGAATCAACGGAACTTGAGTACTCCATTATACAATAATTGTAACGAAAGTCCATCTCAAAAGAAGTTGAATAAACAAAGCAATGATAATGATGGTCCCAGGGAACAGCGGCGACAAGATCACCATGTAAAAAAATGCGAATGGGTCATTCTGCTATTTTTATTTTTTTAAATTGCCAAACCAAAATTTTTTACTGTCGTTCCAGATAAATGTTGTCTTTTCAGCTCCTTTAGCTGGAATTTGATGAAATATCGCATCACTTTGAGAAATAATTTGTTAAAATACTGTATTAGCCAACTCTCTTGAAAGATATTTTCAGTCAATACGTTTGGAAACAAGAATTCGGAAAATAAAATGTTCTCGTCAGGGCAATACCACTACAAGGTAGCCGATGAACTCCGCCGTTTTCTCAGGACTTTTCGAAATACTCCATTTTTATTTCAGAGTTGGCAATGATCCACAACCGTCCAGCTTTCCCATAAAAAAGTAAAATTCGAATCTTCCGAACTTTTCAGAATGAAACACAAAATTATTTGAAATCAATTCATCGCACCAGAAAAAAAAGAAAAGAAAAACCACCAACATAATTGCGAGGATACAATTTTAAAATGTTGAAAGTTGAGGTATCGGCGTAAGGGAAGGAGGGGCAATTCACAAAAATTTAAAAGCCCTTTGAAAAAACAATACAGGTTAGAATTAAGAGTATTCTACCGTATGCAATATATCCAGTTTGACAATAGAATCCAGCAAAATTTAATTCCAACGCTGAACAAAGCGCAGAAAATGGGGCGATTTCCTTAGAAGAGCTTTTCCTGGAAGAAAACCATTAAGGTCGCCATCTTAAAATTGTTTACTCAATATACGAGTATATACGTTACAATACAAAATATAAGTTCAGCCTACTCCTCTCGTTGACAGTAGAGAGGATATTGGACTAGAAAGACGAAGAAGATAAGGGCTAGGGTTTGTCTGAAGCAAGCAAACAAAACGAACAATCTGGTCTTGTTTCCAACAGACGCACGTCAACCAAGAATCCAATTTCCAACGTCAGGAGCTGCGGAGAAACTGAACCAGAGAACATATTGTGTATACCCAGGGTTTGAACCTGCTACCAAAGTGAGTTCCCCGAAATAGCAAAAAATGCAGATCTGGTTTTTTTCTTTCAAATAAATGGCACGCATTTTTACGGAAAACTTCACATTCATGAGAACTATTCAATTTTTTCCCTTAATTTGGATGGTTCGTAACCTCGATGCAACATTTGAGTCTTTCATGTACTGCACTCAAATTTCTGAATCGGAATCAAATATTGGACTAAAATCTATTCATCGGTAATATGAATGAACACTTGTGGTCTTTTTCGAAAAAAAAAAAAAATCTTCAATGCTCTGTTGTGGAGTGTTATCTGTAAGAACGGTACAGGACTTCTTCTCCCCGACGGAACATAATCGCCATACATACAGCTTTCACTTCAGACTTCTCCCAGTACTTCGACAGACAGTCATAAAGTGTGAATTTTGGTACTGGGTCAAGAAAGCGGACCGTAGCTGTGACAAAGTGGGGCCTGGGTAGATTACGGGGTACTAAAACGAACTTCCGCTTTTCTACAAAGCCACAACTCTTCGGAGAACTCCGATCAATAAAATGCCACTGGAACACGAAAATTCGTCTTGGGGACGACGTTCGTAGTTTTTCCCCTCTCTTCTACGACCCAATGATGAAAATAAATGCCATTCCGGTTTCGAGAGGCACCATAGCATCAATTAAAATAAACATGACCATTTGAAGCAAACATTCTCTTCAACTAATAAACAATGACTGATGCATTCATTCGGATCGGCCCATCCAAGATCTTAGCATTTGAGCAGAAAACAGAATTTTCCTCGAACAAATTATCGAACGAGAAGACGTCATTCAGCGCCCAGGAGAAGGTTTTTAAAAGCTTCATTTCCGCAGTGGAAACGGAATCTCTCGAGATTGTATGCGCTTATAAGAATTTCCCCCTTATTTCTGCCGGCGAGTTAGAAATTGCAGTAATATCCGGGGAAGTGAAAAACCTCTTCGAAACGCAATGCTATCTTCTCCGGAAATGAACGCCATCGTCAAGGAATAAACGAATGCGACTTCATCACACAAAAGAAAAATGAGATTCTTCCAAGTTCAGACGTCATCATCTCTCGTTGAAAGTCAAGCGAACAGCAATTTCAAGAAGAAAAAAAACCACCCACTAAAAGACGGAGGAATAAAAAAAAATGGGCCGATTATTCTATTCTGAAGTTAATCTAGGACGAATTGTCGTGAACGCGAACTTATCTACCCCAACACTCAACAAACTTATTAAACCTATAAACAGTCAATTAGAAAAAATCAGACCAAAATACAGAATAATCCCACCAAACGATGATCTTTCGAGCAAACGTCACCTGAATCCCTAACTTTGACGAAAAATAACTCGAGAACTCATTTCGACACAATGTATTCCGACCCAACTTGACACAACATAGCTTTACTCAAATTAACCCAAAGAAGTTACGTAACCTGAAATATCCCCAGGGAAATCAAATGAGAAGAAATGTCAAACGAAACCACAGCAAGATTGGAAAATCGCGGAAAATAAAGCTTTAAATGCTCAACTTTAAGCGAAATGAAATGTTTATTGACTCCCTTACACCAATTTTGATGGATGTAGTCAAACACTAACAATCCAACGGATTAAAAAAAAAGATAAATATAAGAAAATTTTAACGATCTGAATCTAACCGACTGAGAAAAAAAAATTGAAATTTTCAAGGACACAGAAATACTTCGCCACACAAGTCCTCGCCAGAAAAATCAATGAAAAATGTCAGCAAACCGAAAAAAAAATTTCCGTTTCTGCTTCAAAAGTAAATCAACTTCAACAAAAATAAAACCAAGGTAGACCAAGAAAAATCGAAAAAAAAATCAACTCACCGTCGCCGGACAACGTTCTCTCCAACTTGCTTTTCCTCCTCGTCATTTCCTCTCCCTTTTCACGCGCACCAGCTTCTTCTTTTTCTTCTTCTTCTTCGCCATCAGAACCCGAGTGGAACTCGTCATCATCATCATCATTATCTTCATCACCTTCGTCGCCAACTTCAATTTCATCCCCGCCGGTAACACTGCCACTAGCTGCAAGCAATGTATGGATACCATACTTACATTACACTTGACGATTCACTCAAAATGCAAAGGACTGTGTATCATCAAAACGAAATACCGTAATCGCAAGATGGAACACCATCAAGTCACACAGCTTCGAAAAATCGAAACAAATCTCGACCAAATGCAATTCATACATCATTATAGAAATCATTCCGGGAGGACTGATGATATTGATCTCACGTAGTTCGACATTCTTCGCACAATTTATTTGTTTCGTGGTACGCGTGTATCTTATCAATTTTCAAACAGAACTTTTGTTCAGACATCACAGAATCTATACAATGAATCATCGGAACTTGAGTCCTCCATAATAGAGTAATTGTAAGGGAAGTCCATCTCAAAAGAAGTTGAATAAACAAAGAAATGATAATGATGATCCCAGGGAACAGCGACAAGATCACCATGTAAAAAGAAATTGTAAATGGGTCATTCTGCTATTTTCTATTTTATTTTTTTAGAACTGCCAAACCAAAATTTTTTACTGTCGTTCCAGATAAATGTTGTCTTTTCAGCTCCTTTAGCTGGAATTTGATGAAATATCGCATCACTTTGAGAAATAATTTGTTAAAATACTGTATTAGCCAACTCTCTTGAAAGATATTTTCAGTCAATACGTTTGGAAACAAGAATTCGGAAAATAAAATGTTCTCGTCAGGGCAATACCACTACAAGGTAGCCGATGAACTCCGCCGTTTTCTCAGGACTTTTCGAAATACTCCATTTTTATTTCAGAGTTGGCAATGATCCACAACCGTCCAGCTTTCCCATAAAAAAGTAAAATTCGAATCTTCCGAACTTTTCAGAATGAAACACAAAATTATTTGAAATCAATTCATCGCACCAGAAAAAAAAGAAAAGAAAAACCACCAACATAATTGCGAGGATACAATTTTAAAATGTTGAAAGTTGAGGTATCGGCGTAAGGGAAGGAGGGGCAATTCACAAAAATTTAAAAGCCCTTTGAAAAAACAATACAGGTTAGAATTAAGAGTATTCTACCGTATGCAATATATCCAGTTTGACAATAGAATCCAGCAAAATTTAATTCCAACGCTGAACAAAGCGCAGAAAATGGGGCGATTTCCTTAGAAGAGCTTTTCCTGGAAGAAAACCATTAAGGTCGCCATCTTAAAATTGTTTACTCAATATACGAGTATATACGTTACAATACAAAATATAAGTTCAGCCTACTCCTCTCGTTGACAGTAGAGAGGATATTGGACTAGAAAGACGAAGAAGATAAGGGCTAGGGTTTGTCTGAAGCAAGCAAACAAAACGAACAATCTGGTCTTGTTTCCAACAGACGCACGTCAACCAAGAATCCAATTTCCAACGTCAGGAGCTGCGGAGAAACTGAACCAGAGAACATATTGTGTATACCCAGGGTTTGAACCTGCTACCAAAGTGAGTTCCCCGAAATAGCAAAAAATGCAGATCTGGTTTTTTTCTTTCAAATAAATGGCACGCATTTTTACGGAAAACTTCACATTCATGAGAACTATTCAATTTTTTCCCTTAATTTGGATGGTTCGTAACCTCGATGCAACATTTGAGTCTTTCATGTACTGCACTCAAATTTCTGAATCGGAATCAAATATTGGACTAAAATCTATTCATCGGTAATATGAATGAACACTTGTGGTCTTTTTCGAAAAAAAAAAAAAATCTTCAATGCTCTGTTGTGGAGTGTTATCTGTAAGAACGGTACAGGACTTCTTCTCCCCGACGGAACATAATCGCCATACATACAGCTTTCACTTCAGACTTCTCCCAGTACTTCGACAGACAGTCATAAAGTGTGAATTTTGGTACTGGGTCAAGAAAGCGGACCGTAGCTGTGACAAAGTGGGGCCTGGGTAGATTACGGGGTACTTAAACGAACTTCCGCTTTTCTACAAAGCCACAACTCTTCGGAGAACTCCGATCAATAAAATGCCACTGGAACACGAAAATTCGTCTTGGGGACGACGTTCGTAGTTTTTCCCCTCTCTTCTACGACCCAATGATGAAAATAAATGCCATTCCGGTTTCGAGAGGCACCATAGCATCAATTAAAATAAACATGACCATTTGAAGCAAACATTCTCTTCAACTAATAAACAATGACTGATGCATTCATTCGGATCGGCCCATCCAAGATCTTAGCATTTGAGCAGAAAACAGAATTTTCCTCGAACAAATTATCGAACGAGAAGACGTCATTCAGCGCCCAGGAGAAGGTTTTTAAAAGCTTCATTTCCGCAGTGGAAACGGAATCTCTCGAGATTGTATGCGCTTATAAGAATTTCCCCCTTATTTCTGCCGGCGAGTTAGAAATTGCAGTAATATCCGGGGAAGTGAAAAACCTCTTCGAAACGCAATGCTATCTTCTCCGGAAATGAACGCCATCGTCAAGGAATAAACGAATGCGACTTCATCACACAAAAGAAAAATGAGATTCTTCCAAGTTCAGACGTCATCATCTCTCGTTGAAAGTCAAGCGAACAGCAATTTCAAGAAAAGAAAAACCACCCACTAAAAGACGGAGGAATAAAAAAAAATGGGCCGATTATTCTATTCTGAAGTTAATCTAGGACGAATTGTCGTGAACGCGAACTTATCTATCCCAACACTCAACAAACTTATTAAACCTATAAACAGTCAATTAGAAAAAATCAGACCAAAATACAGAATAATCCCACCAAACGATGATCTTTCGAGCAAACGTCACCTGAATCCCTAACTTCGACGAAAAATAACTCGAGAACTCATTTCGACACAATGTATTCCGACCCAACTTGACACAACATAGCTTTACTCAAATTAACCCAAAGAAGTTACGTAACCTGAAATATCCCCAGGGAAATCCAATGAGAAGAAATGTCAAACGAAACCGCAGCAAGATTGGAAAATCGCGGAAAATAAAGCTTTAAATGCTCAACTTTAAGCGAAATGAAATGTTTATTGACTCCCTTACACCAATTTTGATGGATGTAGTCAAACACTAACAATCCAACGGATAAAAAAAAAGATAATATAAGAAAATTCTAACAATCTGAATCTAACCGACTGAGAAAAAAATTTAAATTTTCAAGGACACAGAAATACTTTGCCACACATTTTTCTCGCCAGAAAAATCAATGAAAAATGTCAGCAAACCGAAAAAAAAATTTCCGTTTCTGCTTCAAAAGTAAATCAACTTCAACAAAAATAAAACCAAGGTAGACCAAGAAAAATCGAAAAAAAAAAATCAACTCACCGTCGCCAGACAACGTTCTCTCCAACTTGCTTTTCCTCCTAGTCATTTCCTCTCCCTTTTCACGCGCACCAGCTTCTTCTTCTTCTTCTTCTTCGCCATCAGAACCCGAGTGGAACTCGTCATCATCATCATCATTATCTTCATCACCTTCGTCGCCAACTTCAATTTCATCCCCGCCGGTAACACTGCCACTAGCTGCAAGCAATGTACCAGCTTCGGATCCCTTCCGACTCGAGGGTCCACTGGCGCCGCCGGACGCGCTGCCCGGCGTGGACGCCGCGGCGCCGACCTCGCTGCCGCTCTTTTTCCGCCGCACCGACGCCCGTTTGTTCTCCGCCCCCGGCAGCGACGGCTGCGACCAAATCGGCACTTCCGTGATGCCCTCTTTTCGCAACTCGTTGATAAAGTGCTCGATGATCTCCTTGCCCTGGAGAGAGAAGAAATGATGACAGGCATGTGAAAAACGTCTGTCTAAAAATTCGCGTGACTTATTTTCACGCGTTTAAAAAAAAGGCTCGAACGGAAAGAAAGAAAACTAAATTACAATGAACTGAGATAGACTGCATTGAACCGAATACGTCGAGCGCACGAATTGCACAAATTTCACTCGTCAACCCTCAACAAAACCAAATTTTCAACAGGAGGTCCGACACAGAAATGTACTGAAAAAAATGGCTCCGCAAATCAAACGAATTGAGAACCACCCTCGTAAGAAATTTGCGAGGGCACAGAAATACTTGCCATCCCATAAATGTCGCCTCAAGGTCTCAAGGTCGCACAATCGCCGTATTTACGTGAATGTGAGCACCTCTTTTTTTCAAATTTTAGCAGCTTAAACATTAAGGGGGTCCTTAAATTCGCATACTGTATTTACCCAATTCGAGCAAATCTGCGTTCATATCACGAAATACTCCTGTTTTCAGTTCACAGAACGATCCGGCACTTATTTTCATAAATTCTTTCGGAATCCAAGTTAAAATACTTGAAAATAATAAAGAAATGGTCAGCTTTCAACCCATGATGAGTAAATGACGGAAAGGAAAGAACAAAGGATTGTGTGACAAAATTTTTCTTTCTCTCGGGAAAACTCAAACCAAGTCAAGACATTTTAGTTTCCTGAAAAATCAGAACACCATTAAGGTATGTAGGTGCTTATACTGTATTCACATATTTAATGAAATTTAATTTTGTGCATGAAAAGTCTAGGGGTTCATTACATTTGCGTTAATACGGTAGGTTGCATCTGATTTCATTCGATTCATTAGTTAGTTAGGCTAGTTCAGCATAATTAAAATGTTGAATTATTTTCTGGGATTTCAGCGATATTTTTTTTACAAACGACACCAGTTCAAAATGTATGAAAAATTAACGATATTTTAATCATGAATCTCTAGATCTTGCAAAAATACGAGCGACAATGTGTTTCGATTCGTGCGTTTCTTACACCTTCCAGAGTTACTCAGAGGACACAACAAAATTATTACTTTATTTAAAAAAAAATTTTATTTTTCTGATACTGTACATGTGAAGCCGTCGAGAATAAACGTGTTTCTCGATAACTGAAAAAAAAAACGCAGGCACTTGATCGGGATTTAAGAAACCGGTTCAAGGATGCTCCGACGTTCGAGACATCAAAAAGAATGTCCTCTTCACGTGTTCAAGCAACGTTTTACAAGCTTCCCGAGCAGAACCTCTTCAGCCAAGAACGACCGCATTAGAATTTCAAATTGCCACCGTGCCAACGGCATCCCGTCGATTCCTCTCTTTTTTGTCACCCACACATCAAAAACCCCCCTTCGGCAAAAGTCAGCACCTTCGGGTTTATAAAGGCCGAAAATATGAGAACCTGATACGCTTCAAAAACTCCTTCCTCCTCGATGAACGTCGAAAGACACAAAATTTCTTGGCATCAGAACGTTACTTCCATTAAACACGTCGCTATGATATTACATATACAGTAATCGTATTTTGCCAATTATTAAGGTCAAGGTCTTCAGGCAAAAATGGCTAATTGCATGCTCAACTAGGAGGAATGCCGCCGGAAATTACGGTAACTCACTCTTGGGTCGCAAATCAATGACATCTTAATCAGATAGAAACGGATACACAATTCGATTCGTAAACCAGTAAAATGTGCGGAAAAGGATTTTAAACTTCGGGAATAATTCATCAGACCATTTTATACAACTTCCAACAAGAAAAAGTTTATTCGAATAAGTAAATATGAGTGAACATGAATTAGTTCTGTTATATTCGGGTGAGGCAAGACTTTTCTCATTACACATGAGTAAAATGTACATTACCTCAAAAGGCAAACAATTTAGAATACCAGGGTTAATCATTCCCGGTCCCTTTTTTCACTGCTACGTTCAGATTATCGGAAGTGAGAAATGAAAATTCATCCCATCAATATGAAGAATAATCTTATTCTGGCATCTTATAAAGTTCAGTACGAAATGGTATTTTTAATCCAGTTACAATCGAGTTATGATTTTTCAATATAAAAAATAAGAAAATTCAATACAAAAATTTCTTTCGAGGTCCCGACCGGAACTGCGAAGATACAATTAAATCTCAAAATTGCATTGTTCAGTAACTTTACAGCAAATCGGGTTTTTTTTCTGATTCTTTCGCAGTTTTCCTCATACCTTCGGGAATAATATTTAGGAAGGTAAAAGAAAAACAGCTTTGTCAAAGAAACTTTTCGTTGTGGATTTCAACGTTGGATGCCTTGTACGCGTTTTCATAAAATTGACTTCACATCCTTGAAGTCAATTTCATTTTATGGTAGACGCGTTTCAGTTTCCGTATGAAATTATGGCTCTTTCAACTTCAAGGCCGGAATTTGCGTTCGTTCGGAGCTTTTTGTGCATGGATCTTTTTTCGTTAAAACAAAGAAAATTCCAAGTGGGAAAAAAATGAAGATTTAATGCCACATTCATGACTGCAGAACAAATGCTTGCCCTTTTCGGACGTCTTCCGTTCACCATTCCGTTATTTCTATCGCCCTCGTTTCGGTGTGCTCAAAGTGCACCTTGCAAAGCCAAACTAGAAGAAAACCTTCTCGAGAAAGCACTTCCTGGCCTTCGCTTGCCATATTTTCGCAACAAAAAAACAAAAAAAACGACCATTCGCGTAGAGGAACAAAGAATTTCGCACGCCGTCGAACCGCGGATTTATCGCAGAAAACAAATACATATCCCGTCAGACGCCCCGCTATGACCTCATTTCTGCGACACAATTTACCAGGGACACGTCCACTACGTTCAAAGTACAACACGCACTTGTACGTTTTTCTTAGCCCCATTTTTTCCTCCATTTCAGCTAATGGACACATGGAAAGCAAATACTGTAGAAGCTTGCTAGTCCTCATTTCCGAAGGCTTCATATTTTCCAGTCAATACGTCGGACTAGAAAAGGGCTTCCCTTCTAGAAAATACTTGAAGGAAACGCTGTATTTTCTGTCTATGACGAGTCCCGCGACCGATGAACGGAAGTGTTTACAAATAAAGACTTCGAAGTACTTCCTTGGAACCATGTTCTGTACATCCCATGACAAAGCGTTGACATTGAAAAGGTCCGGAAATGTAAAGGAAGAGGAACAAACAAAGCGCGAATCGAGAAGCGATCCTACATTCAGATCAAGGCATCGTTGTTCTATTGTTTTTTCCCAAAATAAAATTATAAAAACGTCTCACATTTTCGGGGAAATGTCATAAGTCCTCGCATTGAAATAAACAATATTTGCATATTTTGAAAATTGAATTAAGCATTACAGAAAAAAATCGCAAAATCCCCCTTCCCGTCTATATGGTAACAGTTTCTGAAACGATTGTATTTAAATTATTCGCATTCCATCGCGTCGTTGTGTTTTGAATTCCTGTACATTATTACGCAGTCAATCCTTGTTCTTTCTGGGGAGTCGTTATACAACACACCAATCAGGTAATTTCTTGACAACCCAGAAAGGAGACTAAAAATATTACAGATGAAAATAAACACGGATACGCGTACATTTAAACGAAAGCAGATCATTTCCTACTCATATCGTTCATATTAAAGCACCAGGAACTGCAAAAATCCAGCATTCAAGCATGGCATCTAGACTCTAGACGACCCATAAACATCAATCAAGTATGACGCATACGATGCATATTATAGCTTCAACCCATTTTGAATTGAATAAGGAAGGATCGCGTAAGTTCTAAAGAGGGCACGGATTATTATCTACTCAAATTTTTCGCGGTGCACTAAAACTAAGCAAAGCTAGCATTCAAGCACGAAATCAGTAAAAGCTTTTAACTAACATAAAATGGTATAAAAAAAATAAAGAATGAACGCGGAACCCCACCAAAGAAAGTAAAAATGAAAATGGCGAGGGCTAAAAATCAGTCTTTCCTTCTTTTCATGCCTATGTTGCTTTTGCGTGTCGTGTGTCCGAATCCGGTTGCCAAAATGCATCACGTCGCCTTTCCACTCCCTGATTTCAAAATTATTCTTGCAAGTTTCTAGAAGTCCGAATACAGTATTCATTCCTTCTCTCAAGAATGCCTTTTAGGGAAAACCCAGCCAGAAGCAGTAGTCGGGGTCAGGCCCATAAAGGGGCCCCCTTTTGAATTATTCAGCATCCGACGCGGTTTCCGGCCCAACTCAAGCCGCCGCGTTTCCGGCCTCTCCACTCTCGAAACTGCTAAATAAAATAGCTTCTGAAATGGTTTTATTCAAAGTTTAAAGTGCAACATTAGCATGAAAGACCAGAAATGGGTGCAGATGTTATCGACCGGGTCTGGCTACGATTCCGGAATCCAAGGAAAACGGGAAAACTTGTAAAGGTGCCAGGAAAAAAAACGCCGCGATATAAAAATTACCGCAGCTGTAACGAAAGAAATTGAAGGGGAATTGGGGAATTTTACGAGAGAGAATACGAAAACCAGCGAATAATCAGCTGGGAGTGGTGCTTCAAGAACTGATGCACTCCCAACATTTGAGCAGTCGAACGTCAATTCAATTAAGATATGATGAAAAAATGTCGCGACCGAAGAATGAAAAATCAAAAACTGATTTAATTCGCCAATGTAACTGAACCAATTGAAATTATATAACAGAAAAACTAAATTGACGAATAAAATCCACAAATTAATCGGAAAACTAAATAAAAGGATGAATGGTCCGAACAATCCACGAATCAAATGACCAAACGAAGAAATCGCTAAAAAAAATCGTTTCTACCGTGTCTAAACTCCTCATGCGGAGTTTTATTCGTTTCAAGTAGTTTTTTTCGATCATGACATTTCAAGTACTGTATTATCATTATATTCTAAAATCTAAATAATTTGTTGGTCACTCCATCGACGAAGATGCATCAGTTGTTATTTCTATAAATTTTTCCACTCAGTATTTCTCACATAGTCGGACTTCCTCCCGCGT